GTGCCAGAGAAAAAGTAATTACTTAGCAGTTTGAAAGTGAAAATGAGTCTCTTATTAACAGCAATCTATCCAGAAACAAAGAGCAAGAATCTGTGTTCTGATGACATGTGTTTCCCTCGAACTCACAATACCTAGAATTTGGAGAATGCTACAAGGCAGCTTGGGGGGACGGCTACTACTTTTTCTTGCCTGTGAATATTGGAGGGAAAGAATTTTGAATTGGGAGTAAGAGGAGCACCAAAAGAGAAGGAGAGAGACAGCCTTTCCATCCTGGCGGGAGTGACTTAACTGATGAATCTTTAAGGATAAGTACTGTTGAATTCCAGCCACACTTACCCAGCTGAAAAAACAGAAATACCCATTATTATTAAAAATGATTAGTTGGTTCTCTCGTTGCATCACCAAGGATTCTAACACAGGTAAATACGCACAGTTCTGATGCTGTGCGTGTTTAAATTTTTTACAGATTGAAACTGGACATGGATGAGAGGTACTTGGAGAAAAGTAGGGGTGGTGTGGGGCTGAGACTCCCTCAGACTTAGTGTCGTGTCTGTGGTGCAGTGTTGTTCTCATCTGGTATGTGTCCTTATTGCACCATCCGTTGTTCTTTCTTGGGAGATAAGTTTGTGAGCACGTTGTCTGTTACGTTCTTCTTTGTGTTACTCCCACTGCCTACTACGGTGTCTGGCAGGTGCAGGTGCTGTCTAACTCATTTGTTCAGTACTAGAAGGTGGGAAACAGAGGCATTCTATGGCCTTGGAAGATGAGTGATTACAGTAGATACTTGCTTCGAAGCCTAACTCTGCCACCTGGAAGGGACTTACCCAGAGATGGATTGTCCTCTCTCTTGGTGTGTGTCTGCAGTGCGTGTGTGCTTCTTGGCTCCCAAACTGGCCTTTCTACAGTCTGTCAACCCACCATCGCACTTGTGCAGCAGGGAGATGAAAACGAGTGTTGATATTAGGGGAAGTTAGACACGATTCGGAAGGATTTTTTTATTTTTTTGCATCAAATGTCCATATGTCACCATACTGCAAAATACAAAGATGTCTTTGTATCTACATCAGTTATCTGTACTTCTGCTGAGCCCTACTAAGCAGACATGTTAGTGTTAACGGTAGTTGGATGATATGTGGGGGAGAAAGAGCTGCCCCTTCTTTGAGGGGAGGGGAAAGATGTCAGTTCACAGCGGAAAGACTTCCTTCCACAAATCAGTCGGCTAGTGCTTTGAAATGTTGGTTTAGTTTCTGAAGCCAGGTACCTGGCTGGATGAGGCTCAAGCAAGAGATCTGGAACATAGCCAGGGCTTCTAATATTAAGGGCTTTCAAAAGCAGCAAGGCCAAGCTCCGGTCAATTGACCGCTTCCTAAAGGGCTAGGATAGAGCCTGGAGAGTAGGTGTATGGCGCTTGCTGCAGCCAGCCGGCACTTGTGCTGCTGGGCTCTGCCCTAGCCCTGAGCCACACAGAATCGTGGGGCAGCATAATTAAGTCATGTGAACCAGGCACATCTGTTGCTACTGCAGGGTCCTCATGAGCAATTCTAACACAAAAAGAAGCCGTTTCCACAAATGGTGCAGCCGCGTGGGCAGGGTGCAGGAGGGGAGGGCGGGTGAGGGGCTTCTGTGGGGCATCAAGATAGGACAGTCTTCCAAAAAGGCCCGGAATCCTTGCTAACATTTCTTCCCTGGTGGCACAGTGAGAGGGAGGTCACAGATATTTTTCTGGTTCACGTAAAATAATACAAGTGTGTGTGTGGAGCCCTGGTTAGTAAACATGTGTGTCCTTTGTGTTTTGTTCCGCTTTGGTTTGGAATGTGTAAAAATATTTGCCAGCTACTCCTCAGGAGAAAGATGGGGCAGTCTGCTTCTGTAAAGATGACGGCCTTGGAAACCCTGCTCTGGCCTGTAGGGTCACTCGCTATGGGTTGCAGTCTACTCGGTAGCAGTAGGTTTGGTTTTTTATGGGTTAAGACACATCTGCTGCATGTGTCGATGCCGTCCCCCAACCCACAGCCCTTTCAGGATCCATAGCAGATGGTCAATTCTGTGACTGCCAGTTCTATCACAATGTGGTGGCAGAAAATAGAAAGCGGAGCCCCGTGAAGAGCCCTGGTAGAACACAGCTGGGTTTGGGAGACGGCTTGTGAATCTGCTGGCCATGACTGCAGTGTTAGCCTGAGAGTGGTAAAGGGGCTGTGGAGACGGGTTACCGCAGGCTGTGATGAACCCAAGCCACCCACCGCCTGGGCCTCTAAGCAGAGAGCATAGACTGAAGTCTGTCTCCTGGGCACTCATAAAGGACAGCCTAAACGGGTCAGGCACACATGACGCCAGCAGATAGTAGCACTGGTGATTTGTGTGTGCTGTCACCTGAGGGCCTTTCTCAGATCTGAATGGAGATCAGTCCGAAACAGGCATCCCTGTTTCATGTTCTTGTCGTGGAAAGACTGGGTGAAAACTCTCTCAGGTTCAAATAAATGAGAATAAAATGATCTTTGAATTCCTCCAGGAGGTGCTTTGAGAGACAGATAGAAGGACACAAGTGGCCTTAAGTCAGGAAAGTGTTCCCAAGTCTTAGATGAGGACAAATTTTCACAAACCATCTACCCTTCAGAAACACCAGATTATGAAACATGAAATTCATTGGCAAGTGAAACGCCAGATCCACCTCATTGGACAGTCATGACTCAAGAGTTTCAGGCTGGCCAGAAAGAATATCTGTGGCTTCTCTTTGTGCCTTAGACCCTACTGTGCATCGTTTGGGGTGGGTGGTGGGCTGGCAGGGATGGCGGGCAACATAAAACAAACAGAAGCCAAGTCCTAGAAAATAGGAGGAACAGACTTGAGACCTCTGGCCAGCCTCTCTGGAATCAAGTGCTGTCTGGTGTAGTCAAATTGAAGGAGAGAGGGGTCTGTGAAACTCATTGAGTCCAGAGTGCTAGGGTTTAGAATTGTAAACACACACAGATCTCTTAAAAAAAACCCAAAAACCACTAAATGCAGTTGGATTGAAACTAGAGACTCTGTCAGGCAGGATTGTCAGAGGTTGGGTCCCCGCAAGGGTACATCAATGCAAGAATATGCCTTCTCTTTTAGGAAATGACCCTGGTTCAGCCTGACCCATTCTGTGGGGTCTGAGTCAGGACATGGTGCACAGCTCGCGGGTTAGCCCTGTGTGCTTGGTTCATGCACTCTTGCCATATGGATTTGCCCATGTGAGTGGGGCCAGGGTGTGTAAAGTTTGTGTGGTTCTCTAGAAACAGAAGGGAAAACAATGAGCCATTTGCTTCTAATTTAAAAAAAATATTTTAAAAGCACAGAAAGAGGCAAAGAGTAATAAATAACAATTACTACACAGAATTAGCTGTTGTTATTTTTGTTTTTTAGTTTTCTTAAAAAAAACTGCAGATAAAATCCCATGTTGCCCTGTCGTAGTCCCATTTCCTAAGAGACAATCCTAACTTTTGTATGCATCCTTCTGTTTCATGTTGTCATGTTTATTTATGTCATATACCTCATGAAATACACATATATACACAATATAAATATACGACATGTTCTTGTGTGCTTAAGATACTATTTGCTATGTCTATAGTCTACAACTCCTTTTACTCAGCTTTATGGGCATTTGCGATTTCTGTGGATTCATGTAGCTTTCATTCATTCATTTTCACTACTCTAAAGTTCAGTATATGAGTACACCCTACATTTTTTTTATTATTTTAAATGCTCAACATTTTTTTAGAGCTCGTCTTGTGCACATTAGTGGAGATTTTTGGAGCATATCCACAGGGAAGTAGTGCTGAGTCATAGGAGATGTGCATTTTCCGTTTTGATAGAAATTGATTTCCCTAATACTTCTACCACTTTACACTTCCATTAGCACTAGTGAGTTTTCAACTCCTGGTACCAGATTTTTTTAGTTTTTTGCCAGTCTGATAGATGAGACGATTTCACAGTTTTAATTTGGGTTTCCCCAATCACTGATAGCATCATAATTCTTTATGCCATTGGAATTTGAAATTAAATCTCTCCAGAGGGATGCAATCCCAGTATATTGATCTGGCTGGGAATCAAGTACAGCTTAAAGTTGTGCCTTATTCGGTGGTACCCAGAGGGATTGAGGTACCACCAAATAAGGCACAACTTTAAGCTGTATTAAGAAATTAAGTTTTCACTCTAAGAGATAAAATTCTTGAAGTTTTACGTATTCTTGATGGAAATGTCTCTGAAATGTATTCTGCTTTCCTGTTTTGTGAAATTCAAAGCGTATTGACTTCAGTCCTCATAATGAGTGAGCATCATGGTTTTGTTAAATTTCATTAATCCTTTCAGAGCCTGTTGAAATGAGACTTTTATCTTTCATCATCTTGTTTTTCTTTCAGGGGTTTCTCCCACCTTTTAAGATGAAAAATCGTTTTATATAAATGGCGCGAGCTTCGCGTGGGATCTTTTGTCTTCTCTAATTTGCTGCCATCTTCTCTTCAGAATGCTAAGGACACAGGGATGATAGCCCTTAGGTGACGGAGTGCATGGGGCACGTGGCAGCAGTCTGCCCGCGTTCTGTGATCTTTCCCATCTGCTTCCAAGATGCACCAGTGTTCTGGGTAGTTGAAGCTGTTGGAAATCTGACCTGTGGATGAGTGAGGTGTTCACAGCATTAGCAAAATACCCATTTATAAAGAAGCGAAAATACTCGCCTTAAGAAGGAATACATTTTAACTCATGGTTGTTAAATTGGGCTGTTACTGAGGAGATAATGACCAGCAAGGTGGCTCATTATTTCAGAAGGTCTGAGAAAATTCACTAGACATCACGGTACAAGTACCATGCTGGTTAAGCAGTATAATTCCCACGTGACTGTTTTTTTTTTTTTAAAGTTTTACATTTTGTTTTGTTTTCAGAAAGTTGCTGCTGTTTATAAGCTTACTATTGCTTGCCTTTCCAGTCTTAAAAATTTATGGTACAAATTTAACATTTCCTTTTTTTTCTCATTTCAGTGTGACAAAATTAGGCAAGAACGAGATGAAGCTGTTAAAAAACTGGAGGAATTTCAGAAAAGTATGTACGCATTTCGGTGGAATGACTATAACACACATGATTGTGTATTGGGATTACGTGGGTAGACAGAGGCCCTTGGGGTTAACTACTGATGCACTGGGCCTCCCATCAAGAAAGCAAGCATGTCTTCCTGCTTGCCCATGCAGCATCCTGGCATTACTGTGATTTTTAAAGAAAAAGAACGAGCGTTATTATTTTATGTGTGTGTGATTATGACAGTTTGTACTTGATACAGAAAACCCTTGCTATACAGAAAAGTTAGAGAACAGAAATGACTTTTCACCTTCAGTCCTTGAGAAAAACCAAAGGTGGCGTTTTGTAGCATATCTTTCCTGTTTTTTTTTTTTTTTTCCTTCTGAGTGATATATGTATCTACAAGAAATGTGTTCAGTTTATAACCTGCCTTTCAGGCACAGTATATTGTGGTCATCTTTGCGTGTCAGTAGAGATGTACATCGATTTTAATCATTGACCATTGTGTTCCATGATACAGTAGTGCCATCATTTCTTTAGATATTCTTTCACTGATGGAGTTGTAGCTATTATCAATAATGCCATGGCAAGTATTCTTAATATGTAATCTTTACCGTGGTCTGATTATTTCCTTGGGTTAATTCATAGAAATGGAATTAGGGGCTCAGAGAACTTACACATTTTTAAGAGTTTGAATATTTGAAATTGCCTTCTTACTAAGGAGCATTGCATTACCATGAAAAGAACAGATGTCTGACTCCCCAAAACCTTTTCTGGGCATTTGCTAAGCAATTTTTTTATATCATATAAATCTGTTATTACTTTATCCCAAAGATAGAACATGGCTGATTGCACTCAGAAGGATCAGATGGAAAAATGTCATGGGAAAAGGGCCAGGCCTTAATAGGAGGACACCCTTTCTCTCGGAAGGCCTTTCACCATCACTCTGCATATACTGCAGCAGTCAGGAGTTTGATAGTATCATACACTGGTGACTCAGTAAAGACATGACAAAGCATTTTGTTCTAGTTAAAGGGAACACAGCCGTAGACAGTGGAGCATCATAGTTCAATTTCGGTGGGCCAGTTTATTTTCTGTTGTGTGGCTGTACAAAGAAAAGTAGAGGGGATTCTGCTGACACTGCCTGTCTTTGGAGGTCCCTATGCTGTGGAGAAGGAGCCCTTGCTGGGAGTGTGTGAATTACAGCTGCACAGGCCTTCCTCCATCCTTAATGCAGGGTTAGTGAGATGTTCTCCTACTTGTGTTGGTGCCGAGCCGTAGCTGAAAGAGTTAGACCATTGGCGTTGCTGCCAGTTAACATGCTTGAATTATTGATAGCAGGTTGGTGTCCTGTGGGTAATGGGAATAGATCAAGTTGTTATGCTTGGACTTGTTGTCATGTTTTGGTCCAGGTGGGGGTAGTAGGGATTTTGCTTCTTACATTATGCAAAAATGGAAGCAAAGTCTCCCTAAATCCACCTACTTTTATTTATTTATTGTATTGTACTTTGTGTGATAGTTTACAGAGCACATTTGTCTTCCATTCAACGATTTATACACCTTTTATTTCCTGAAGTTAGTTGCAGTCCCCTTAATGTCACAGCACTCTTCCCACTTCTCCCTGGGCTCCTGGTTTCCGTTCATCCATCTTTCCTGCCCCTTCCTGCCTTCCGAGCTTTGTTTTGGGGCATATGCTGCCCTTTGTCCCATGTGGTTGATTGTGCCAAGGAGCATGTTCCTCCGTGGCGTTATTATTCACTTTATAGGCCTGTCTGTTGTTTGGCTGAAAGTTGGTCCTGGGGGTGGGTTCAGTTCCAGGTTGGGGGGTGTCTGAGGGCCACAGTCCCAGGAGTTCCACCAGTCTTCCATCAGACCAGTGTCAACCTACCTTGAGAGTAACCGGTAAACCCTGCTTTGATCTGCCATTTCTCTTCTCCCTTTCTTTTGTCTCTTCTAAATACCTCTGATAGCTTTAAAAATTTACGTTTTACTTTATGAGCAACTCTAATTTAAGGCTGAGAGGATCAGTTGAAAGGTTAGTAGAACAACCTCAATCGTTGTAGTCATTTAAATACCTTTAGTAAGCTTGCCTGATAAGGGTGGGATGGCAGGAGAACAGAATGCTAACCCTTTACTCAGTCTCAAAGAACAGAAGATGGGGGATAAGAAGACTCTGGAAATACTGGTTAAGAAATTCTGAGACAAATGGCTTCCTAGCTTTGGAAGAGAAGTTGGAATTTCAGATTTGGAGGGAAGGAGGCAGTGTCCTCAGAGAAGAGCACCAGCTGGTGTGAACCCAGGGACCCCTGAGCAAGTGCCTGCTGTATTACAATCGGGGTGAGTGGTCCTGCCTCCTAGGCTGTTCCAGGAAGAAATGAGATACTCCATGGAAGAAGTGCTTACCACAGCACTTGGGACAAAGTAAACCCACTGCCATCGAGTCAGTTCTAATGCATGGTGACCTCCATAGAGTTTCCAAGGCTGTAAACCTTTACAGACTGCCTCATCTTTCTCCTGTGGAGCAGCTGGTGGGTTCAAACCTCTGACCTTTTGGTTAACAGCTAAATGCCTTACCACAGCACCATCAGAGCTCCTTGGCACAAGGCAGGCACTCAGTGATGTTAGCTGCTCTCCCACCATCTTGTCCTCTGTACCGCCTGGGACCTGACTGTCCTTCGGTGGTACTAATTCCTATCAGTTACCTTCAGTGAGTTGGCGTCCATCACCTTTAAGTGGATGCCAGTCTCCACATTTGGACAGTTCTGATGGAATGTTTCTTTTTGTGCAGAGGTGAGATCTGCCTCCTGTGAGTTTATTGATGAGGTCCAGCTCTTCATGTGGAGGAAGAGAGCTGGATAAGGCTGCAGGAAAGCTTCATTTGGCCACAGGCCCTTCCTCCCTCGCTCTGTGTGCTTTCCCCAGCTGTGTCCACGACGTGTCCTTCCCCAGCTCGTGTCCACAGTGTGTCCTTCCCCAGCTGTGTCCACGGTGTGTCCTTCCCCACCTCATGTCCACGGTGTGTCCTTCCCCAGCTCGTGTTCACAGTGTGTCCTTCCCCACCTCATGTCCACGGTGTGTCCTTCCCTGGCTGTGTCCACGGTGTGTCCTTCCCCACCTCATGTCCACGGTGTGTCCTTCCCCACCTCTTGTCCACGGTGTGTCCTTCCCTGGCTCGTGTCCACGGTGTGTCCTTCCCCAGCTGTGTCCACGGTGTGTCCTTCCCCACCTCATGTCCACGGTGTGTCCTTCCCCGGCTCGTGTCCATGGTGTGTCCTTCCCCACCTCATGTCCATGGTGTGTCCTTCCCCAGCTGTGTCCACAGTGTGTCCTTCCCCACCTCATGTCCACAGTGTGTCCTTCTCCGGCTCATGTCCACGGTGTGTCCTTCCCCGGCTCGTGTCCACGGTGTGTCCTTCCCCGGCTCGTGTCCACAGTGTGTCCCTGCAACTCTTGATTCTCTCCCAGCTCTTCCCGAGCCTGTCTCCAACCTTTCTGCACAAAGAACACCACCACATAGCAAAGCCACTTTCTGCAGAAGACGGATTCCCCTAAAGGATGAGTAAACAAGGTTGTTCCGTGTCTTTAGGGCCAAAACCTTGGATCCTTTGCTCTTTGGAGGGCACACCATTTTTCCGTACGCACGCCAGCTTCAGACCACAAGAAGGCTTTTCTGAGTAACCTGATCTCGATGAAGACCTCGTGCCATGTTCCCCACGTGCACTGTAGAGACACCCTGCATCTCGGTGTTGCTGGAGTTGGCCACGTGGAGAGGGGTTTTGCTCAGGAAGCAGTGCACTGGAGCTGTCGCCTTTCAGTATGGTGAATTAGAAAGGAGCACAGGCAATGGGAGTTACCTAGAAATAAATTTGGTTTGCTTCCACATCACCACTTAGAACTCTGGTTCAGCGTATGTTACTTTATTTCTCTGGGCCTCAGTTTTCTTAAGTATAAAATTGCTATGATAATACCTACCTCCCAGAATTGGGAGGGTTTATGAGACAACACATACAAAGCATTTAGCACCAGCCTGAACACATGGTCAGGCTCAGTAAATGGTGGTGGTGGCTGTATTCTAACCAACACTATACTACAGAGAACATTGTTATAAAAGGGTATTAACAGATGAACTCAGACCTGATGGATTTTTTTTAATCATTCAAACAAACACAAAAATGAGTACGTTCTTTGCACATGGTTTATGTTACGTGCAAGAGAATCAAACATTAAGTACAGGTGGTCCCCAGGGTATGAATGAGATTCCTTCCTAACTGTGTCTTTAACAATTGGAGGTAAGTCAGAACAAGTGCTTATGGTTCCTACTTAACCTTACATTAATGCAAAAAGGAGCTCTGGTGGCATAATGGATAAGGCATTTGGCTGCTAACCATAAGGTCAGTGGTTCAGTGCCACCCGCTGCTGTGCTGTGCAGGAAGATGATGAGGCAGTCTACTTCTGTAAAGATTTACAGCCTTGGAAACCCTACGGGACAGTTCTACTCTGTCCTGTAGGGTTGCTATTAGTCAGAAATGACTCTATGGCAGTGCATTTGGGTTTGGTTTTGTGCAAGTAAAGGAGGTCTAGTGGCACAGTGTTAAAATGCTTGGCTTCTAACCCATCAGCTGCTTCTCAGGAGAAAGGTGTGGCAGCCTGCTTTCATAATGATCTGCAGCCTTGGAAACACTATAGGGCAATTCTGCTTTGTCCTATAGGGTTGCTAGGAGCCAGAACCAACTTGTTAGTAGTGGCTTTGGATTTTTTGTTTGTTTGGTTGGTTAGTGCAAGAAAAGGCTCAAAGCCTTTTCAGTCATTTAAAAGCTACATGGGCAGCAAGTGAAGGTGATTGTGATGAAGAATTTGTTGCTAGTGGGGGTTGGTTTCAGTTGTTTCAAAATGAAGGCAAATTTATGCAACATTGAAGGTCAGGTAGGAGTTGCTGTGATCGGATGTTTCTAATCAAGGGGCTGCAGGTAAAACAAAAAGCTTGCTCGAATGCTCAGAGTCAGTAGGAGACAGAAATAAGTACAAAATAATAGTTGTCCTACAAGATGTGTCCTATGACAGCAAGTATTTCAGGGGGCTTTGGGGTCATAGACAAGGAGAGAAAACTTGGCTAACTGAACTGGGCTGAAAGAAGCAATAGTTGATAAATGTTTAGGGTGCAGTTCTGCGAGTTCTCAGAGTCATTGAAAACACATTTAATTATGGAATATTTCAGACTTACACAAAAGTGAGAAGATTGTCTCATGAACCCCCTGTGCCTATCATCCACCTTTAACAATGGTCAGTGCAGGGCCCACCTTTTATCTCTGCACCTACATACCCACTCTCACCTCCTCCACCCCTAGGTAATTTTGAAACTAATTGCAGTCAGTATATCGTTTTATCTATAAATATTTAGATAAATATTTATAAAAGAAAATAGTGTCTTCCCTCCCATAACAGCAATATTAGCCTCTCTTATTTGAGGTATGCAAATAGGCCCCTGGGTGGAGCAGGTGGTTCGTGATTGGCTGCTAATCTAAAGGTTGGCGGGTTGAACCCACCCAGGTGTGCTGTGGAAGAAAAGCCTGGTGATCAGCTTCCATGAAGACTACATCCAAGGAAATGTTACTCAGTAGTTCTGCTCTGTAACACATGGGGTCACCATGAGTTGGAATTGACTCAGCGGCAATGAGTTTGGTTTTTTTTGGTGCCGGGAGATGGGGTTGGTCATCCAAATATGTAAATACAAGTTCAGGTCCATAGGGTAACTCCTAAAATGGACTAAAGATTTTTTAAAAAAAACTTTTATCCTTGGAAGGGTGCAAATGAATTCACATATCGGAAAATTTCTGTTCTGGGTCATGTGACTTGACGTTTGGCTTCAGAAATGGGGTCTTGCTTTTTAAAGATAGAAATGTCCTTTGACATACGGTGTTACTTTCTAAACTTAGCAAGGTGACATGTAGGTTTCTATGCTACCAGTTTAGTCTCGGGGTAATTTCTTACACTGGCAATGAAAACAGTTTTTAATTTCCATTGTTCCCCCTTCTGAGGAGGAAATAAAACTCCTCTTACCCAGTGGCATGCCCCAGCTCGGTACTGGAGAAAATGGGGGCAGTGCCTTCTGGCTAAGTTTATCAAGGGAATTACGTGGCAGTTTTTTACAAAATGTTTAGGGAATGGGTGTTGTTGTTTTTCTTCCTTTTTGCCAGGCCTAAACCTTGCTACTGTGGAATGATTTTTTTCTTTCTCTTCCTTGAGCAAGAATGTTACTGAATAAAAAGTCAAATTCCTATGAGAAATGCAGAGTGTTTATGTTTTTGTTATGATGGTGGGAATACCAGATTGTGGCAGAAGATGTCAAGTAGTTAAGGCTGAAAATTCAAAGTAATATTTGATGTTGTAAAAATTGTATAGGTTTCTTTTCTCTTTCCTTCACATTTTTGAAGAACCTACCTTGTAAACATAGTGATAAAATGCCAGGAATATTAGGATTTTAAGGAAATAATAGAGCCTATTATTTAAACTACAATATAAAAGGCAATTATATTGATGAAGAGCTACACAGGCTTTGTGTGTGTGAATAAACTTGGCCTGTGTTCAGCTTCTATTTGTTCTTCTGGCATAAACACATATTGTGTGTGATTCCAGTTTAATGGGGACCCGTTTGTATGCCAAGCAGCTGCATTTTAGGGCCTATTGCGTGATTTCATAGCTCTCTGAAAATTGGTTCTATTCAGAACAAGAGATAGAAGAGAAGAAGGGGGTGGTGAGGAGGGGGGCTTCAACACACAATCATTTCTTTTCAATTGGAGCCAGAAAGGTTGATGACAACATGACCATTGTGTTATAATGATAAGACCACTAAGGCATCTGTACCTCTCATCAAGGCTTTCACACAACAGCAGATACAATTTAATTCACTGCTCTGTCAGCAGTGCTGATACCATTATGCCGTCTGTCCCCACAGTTATAATCACTGTCCTCTGAGAAATGCAGTTGAAATGATCTTGAGCAGTCAAAGAAACTCTCAATTAAGGCTGCCACTTCCAATGTGTCAGATTGTGTCTTATGCACTTGGTACGATTTTCACTTCCAATCCTGTTTATTTACAATGTCTACCAGTAATTACGCTTAACGTGTCATTTAGTGAGGGGGGCCCTGCCAAGCCAATTGTTGGGTGCTGCCATACCATTGAGTGGGTGGGTCTTGAAGTCAATGCCATCAGCAGCTTTTAGGCCCTGATGGGATGCAGCGGTAATGTTGATAATGCAAGTATCGTGCTCATCAAGTCATAATTAGATGCCACTCAAATGTGCCACTTGTAATAACAGTGTTGATTCATGTTTTTCTCGGTGACTGCAACTACTAATTAGTTAAGTGGTTTTTGGTTGGCCTGCATTTGCTTCAGATTATTATTACCCCTGAAAAAATGTCAAGGTTAGAGATGTTTCTGGCCATTTACTGCTGCTTTATGAATTTGAATATTAACATAATAAGAACTTTGGACAGACTTAGGAAGTAATATATTTTTGTATTTAATTTGGAAAGAAATTTTTTTCCCCTGAGTTTAATCATAATTGCAGGTTAATTAAACGTAAATGAAGCAAAAGTAATCTCTCTTTGTGTTATGTGAGCTCAGTGCTTTTTACCTAACTTTGTTGGTTTCCACGGTTGGATGTTCTTTAATTTTTTTTTTTTAAGCCAAACAAGTGTCATTAAGTGTACCTGTCCACAGTTAGCTCTCTGGTTCTGAGTATTTTCTTTTAACTAGAAATAGAGGTTGGAAGAATTGACATTTTTCTTATTTGAACTTCAAAACGTAATTCAAGTTCTGAATAACTCTGTGCCATTAAATCTCAGTGCGTGTAAAACAGGTACCAAAAACCTGAAAAGTTCCATTTTTCAAGCATTGGTAAAATCCCAAGTAAATGTTTATGTTTCCTCTAATCCTCCTGACAGTCCATGATGTGAGAAGCAATTTCTTAGCACCTGCACTCACTGTCGTGGAGGATGGCTCCCTGTTGCTGCCCTGCCTGCAGTTTATGACTCGGTCCTTTATAAAGAGCCCTGTTGCAAGACTGAACTGAGCTGCAGCATTGCTGGGATGGCCAAAAGGTCAACCTAGGATTTATTTTTCTTTTCTGTCTAATTAGTTCATTTTCCTTATTAGATGCATGTGTTACAGCCTGTTAAGAAAATGAAATCATGTCTGCTGTGTCTCTTTATTGATGAGAGACTCTTGTTTAAATTAACAGAGTCTATCTATGGCTATGTATTTAACTACATAGATAACAAAAACCAAACCTATTGCAGTCAAGTCGCTTCTGATTCATAGAGACCCTACAGAACAGAGTAGAACTGTCCCATAGGACTTTATAGGAGCAGACGGTGGAGGGCTGGTGGGTTGGAACCTCTGGTGGGGTCAAACCGCTGACCTTTTGGTTTGCAACCAAGCACTTTAACCACTGCATCACTAGGACTCCTTCGAAAAAAAACCTCGCTGCCGTTGAGTCAGATCTGACTCGTAGCAACCCCTCCTTGGGTTTCCAAGGCCTTATCACTAGAAAAAGATCTAAATGGCTTTCTTAAAATAAACATGAAACAGAACATGTATGAATAGTTGAATGGGAAACCAATTTGCTCTGTAAACTTTCACTCAAATCAAATTAAAAAAAAAAAAATGCATAGATAAGTATAAACATGTGTGTGTAATAGCAGTAAAGGTTCTTCATTGTCTTTCTTTTTCTTTCTACATTCAGATGTTAGCCGACATTTTATCAGGACAGCTTGTGAAAGCTGCTTTTCCGGTGGCTGCTAAGGGTCGGGCCGGCTGAAGAGCTGAGGTGTTCTGAGTCACGGGATGAGATGCGTGGGCTCTGGAGTAGCTGACTAATCTTTGAATGCTGAGATTTTTTTTTCTCCCCTCATTCCTAGTTTCTCACATGGTTATAGAGGAAGTTAATTTAATGCAGAACCATCTTGAAATAGAGAAGACTTGTCGGGAAAGCGCTGAAGCTTTGGCAACAAAGGTGAGACGATTAGCATGCACTTGCTTGACCTGGACTTTTCCTTTCAGTTTGCTTTTCTAAACAGCGAAGTCTGTCCTTCACTTTTCTGGTGCTCTGCTCTCACGGCAAGGAAATGGGGTTACAAAGTCTGAGAAGCCTGCAGTAGGAGGATGTGAACAATCTGCCTCATGCAAGGGTTAGGTTGATTATAAACAGAGCATGCATCTATGTGCATTTCAACACCTGTCCTTTTTCCCTGTGAAAAATAGTCCCAGAGGAGTATGCTAAACTGGACTTCCTAGGTGTCTAAGCGTTGGGTCAAAATGGTAAGCCAGTCTCAAACTAACCTGATGTGACACAAAACTGTAATGAGTGTGTGTCATGTTTGAATCAGATGGAAAAAGTCCGCCGTAAGCCTTACATTTCAGGTGATGATTTGTGAAAGCCAGGCGGGGGCAGCTGGAGGTGACCTCCTGTGTGCCTCTGATTGCTTCTAGCTGATGAGTTTACCAAGTGTGTAATTTTGTGGATCCTGCCTCATCAGAAGTACATTATTATTAAAGAATGTTTTTGTCTCTGTCCTTCGTATTTTGGGTTGGGTAAAATGCATCTGAACCACTTCATCAGAAAATGGATTACAGCAATTTTCAGCCAAATTTCATTAGTAATGCCAGTGGTGTTCCTTCTCGCCTCTTTCTCGTCTCCTGCTCCCAGAATGTTCCTTTGGATGTGAGCGAAATCCTTCCACCAATAAATAAATAAATAAAGCTGTTGAATGTGTGTGCATTAGCCATGTTCTTGCTGGAGGTATTTTCTTAATTGTTTGCATAATGACACTGCATTAGAATTCATTAGATAATCAGAACCTAATTAAGAAAATAAATTGTGTGCTTGTAACTTCTCTCCTGTTACTTGTCTGAAGATGACATAGTGATACAAGCCATTGCTTCAAAAACAGTGGTAACATGGGTCCTGCATGTCATTCCCACCCTCCTGAACATCATTGAAGTTCCCTTCTCCGTGGTATTATGTGACTTCTCTTTCTTTTCCTTCATTTTTTCTTTGGGAACAGGTAGAGAAGAACGTACTTGGAGCATACTGGCTGCTCTGAATGTCCTGGTGCTTAAAGATAATCTTTGGCTGCATTTTCTCTTATTAATAAGCATTTCAGTGGTACTGCCGGAGTGGACACACTGACCGCCTCTCAGGCCTGGCAGAGTTCATGTTCATGGCAAGAGCAGTGGTTTGGGAGGCACCGTATATGGATTTTTTTTTTTCCTCTGGTTTTGTCACTTGGGGCATATATGACTTGGGCACTTTAGTTCCTCTGTCTGGGCTGTTGGAGTCTCATCTTAAGTGATAGGATGGACCAGAGTTAGGACTGGGGTGAGAGTGGGGTGGGCTTTTACTTTTTCATGACCTTAATTACTGGTCCATCCATAGCCCCCTTTTAAGAACCATCTTTCTCTACCACCACCACCCCCCCCTTTTTTTTTTTAATTAACAGATGACTTTGGTCAAGAGAATTCTGGGCTATCACGGCTTGTTCTAATGTTAGGGCAGACTCCAGTTGGCTTCTTAAGAATACCCTGACCAACCATCTCTAGTGTTATGGCCCAGGCATGAATATGTCAAAAATTTGCCTAGTGACTGTTCTATTCACCCCTTAGAAACCACTAAGGCCATTTTTGCAGGTTAATCTTTATGACAGGATCCTCTAATTTACAATGTTTGTCACCTGTTCCTTAAGGTGCCTTTTTGAAAATGGACATACAGCTTGTTCCTGAGAGCATAATATGGACTCTTGGGCCCTGAACTAAAAAACAAACAAGCAAACCTACTTGTGCTCATTGCATGTGGAAGACTCTATAGAGCTTTGGTTGGGAAATTTGGAAAGCTCATTATATGTATGATCAATAAATGATAATGGCCTGTCTTTATTTAGGTATCAGTTGGCATTTTTTTAAGGTAGGTTCTATTTTTTGAGCAGCAAAGTTTTTATAAATTCTTATTTTTCTAAATCTTCTCCATCAAATTAATGACAAATGGAATATTTAATTCTTACGATTCATTTTGTCCTTACAATTAAAAAAAAAAACAAGATGACTAACCAAGTAAGGATAGTTTACCTCACTAAAATGTTGAGGTTATACTAATAAATGTAGACCTACGATTTAAGTCCTGTGGTCCAAAGCCATTGAACATACTTATTTTGTATCTTTAAATATTCATTAAAATGCACCCAGTATAAAAACTGTCAATTATATTTGAATGTAGTGGAAGGTTCAGTTACTGTGGGATTGTAAAAGACTTATTTTCGCCTTGTGACTAAAGATAGGAGGATTCCAAAAACATAATTCTATTAACCTATAACTCAAGGAACAATAATAACTGCAGTGAAATTGCTGAGCCAAAATTTGTGAATTTATAGTTCTCAAAAATACTCAATTAGTGTGCACATAAGACCTCATGCATGTGTGTGTGTATATGTATGTATATATATATATACATATGTATATATACACACATACATGTTGTTGTTGTTGTTGTTATGTGCCATCGAGTCAAACCTGACTCATAGCGACCCCTCCTTGGGTTTCCGAGGCAGTATCACTACGGAAGTAGGATTGCCCAACCTTCCTTCCGAGGAGTGGCTGGTGGGTTTGAACCGCCAGCCGTCTGGTTAGCAGGCAAGTGTCTTAGCCACTATGCTACCAGAGCTCCCATACATACATACATATACATATATATATATATATATATATATATACATATATATATATATATGTATGTATATACACACACACACACATATACATATATAAAATAGTAGTTGTGCTTAGGTGCCATTGAGTCAGCTTTGATTCATAACGACCCTACGTGTCACAGAACAAAACCCTGCCTGGTCCTGCGCCAACCTCAGAATCCCTGCTGTGTTTGAGCCCGTTGTTGCAGCCACTGTGTCGGTCCATCTCATTGAGGGCCGTCCCTTTAGGGACTGGTCCTTTTTGACAACAGGTCCAAAGTAGGTGAGATGAAGTCCGGCCATTCTCGCTTCCAGGGAGCATTCTGGCTCCGTCTCTTCTAGGACAGATTTGTTCGTTCTTCTGGCAGTCCATGGCATTTTCAGTCTTCTTCACCAACACAGCAATTGAAAGGCATCATCTCTTCCTTGGTCTTTCTTACTCATTGTCCAGCTTTCACATGCATATGAGGTTGTTGAAAATTCCATGGGTTGGGTTAGGCACACCTTAGTCTTCAAAGTAACCTCCTTGCTCCTTAAGACTTAAAGAGGTCTTTTGTGGCAGATTTGCCCAGTGCAATACAATGTCTGATTTCTTGACTGCTGCTTCCATGGATGTTGATTGTGGATCCAAGTAAAATGAAATCCCTGACAACTTCAGTCTTTCCTGCATTCATCATGGCATTGCTTATTGGTCCACCTGTGAGGATTTTTGTTTTCTTTCTATTGAGGTCTAATCCATACTGAATACTGTAGTCTTTGTTCTTCATCAGGAAGTGCTTCAAATCTTCTTTGCTTTCAGCAAGCAAGATTGTGTCATCTGAATATTGCAGGTTGTTAATGATTCTTCCTTCAGTCCTGATGCTGCGTTCTTTCTCATATAGTCCAGCTTCTTGGATTATTTGCTCGCATACAGGTTGAATAAGTATGGTAGAATAATACAACCATTCCTGATTTTAAACCATGCACTGTCACCTTGTTCAGTTTGAATGACAGTCTCTTGGTCTGTGTATGTTCCTCATAAGAACAATGAAATGTTCTGGAATTCCTGTTTTTCACAATGTTATCCATAATTTATGATCCACAGAGCCGAATGCCTTTGCATAGTCAGTAAATCACAGGTAAACATCTTTCTGGTATTCTTTGCTTTCAGCCAAGATCCAGGATGTCCTCTTCTGAATCCAGGTTGCTTTTCTGGAAGTTCCTTGCAAGTATAGTGCTACAACTGTTTTTGATTTATCTTCAGAATTTTACTTGTGTGTGATATTAATGATATTTTTAGATAATTTCCACATTCTGTTGGATCACCTTTCTTTGGAATGGGCACAAATATGGATCTCTTCCAGTTGGCTGGCCAGGTAACTGTCTTCCAAATTTCTTGGCATAAATGAGTAAGCACCTCCAGCATTGCATCTGTTTGTTGAAACATCCCAATGGGTATTCTGTCAAGTCCTGGAGCCTTGTTTTTCACCAGTTCTTTCAGTGCAGCTTGTATTTCTTCCTTCAGCACCAGTGTCTCTTAATCATATCCTACCTCCTAAAATGGTTGAACTTCAGCCCCTGCTTTTTTGTACAGTGACTCTGTGTATCCCATCTTCTTTTGATGCTTCCTGCATCATTTAATATTTTGTCCACAGAATCCTTCAATATCGCAATTTGAGGCTTTAATTTTTTCATCAGTTCTTTCAGCTTCAGAAATGCCAATCGTGTTCTTCCCTTTTGGTTTTTTTTAACTCCAAGTCTTTGCACATTTCATTATAATAACTGACTTTGTCTTCCCAAGCTGCCTTTGAAATCTTCTGTTCTGAAATCTTTTATCTTGTCATTTCTTCTGTTAGCTTTAGCTACACTCCATTCAAGAGCAAGTTTAAGAGTCGCATCTGAGATCCATTTTGGTCTTTTCTTCATTCCCTGTCTTTTTTATGACCTTTTGCTTTCTTCATCTGTGATGTTCTTGATGTCATCCCACAACTCATCCGGTCTTAGTCACTAGTGTTCAGTGTATCAAATCTGTTCTTCAGATGGTATCTACATGCAGGTGGTATATAATCTAGGTCATATTTTGGCTCTTGTGGACTTATTTTAATTGTTTTCAGCTTCAACTTGAACTTGCATATGATCAGTTGATGGTCTGTTCCACAGTCAACTCCTGGCCTTGTTTTGATGAATGATACTGAGCTTTTCCAGCTCCTCTTTCCACAGACGTAATTGCTGTGGTATCTCTATATTCCATCTGTTGAGGTCCACATGTACAGCCACTGTCTGTGTTGTTAAAAAA